CGCCCCCTCCTTCATGACAGCGTCGCCCAGCAGCTCCTTGTATCGCTCCTCGTACCACTCCTGCAACCCGCACGACAACGCAGCCTAACCTCGGGACGGAAGACTTCGCACAAGTTCTTCAGTTTGGCGAGCTCGCCCGTCTAGTTTCGCACTTCATCACCTCGCAAATGGGTGACATCAAGGAAGCAATGGGTACCAAGGAATATTTGTCATTACCCGCCGTGATTAATGCGATGTAATCGCATGACGAGTACGTGGCAGCAACACTGCCTAGACTCAGGACAGAAGACTTCACACAAGTTACTGGTACTTCACAATTTGACCGAGCTCACCTATTTAGTTTCGCACTCCGTCACTTATCAATTGAAGGGCTTCTCGAAAAAAAAACAGCAACAGTCCAAAAATTCCTATTTGTGGAAAATGAGGAAATGCCGTCCACCATCCTAACTCACCTTCTTAGCTCATCTATTTTTTCTTCGCTAATTTTCTTTGTAACTAATGCACTTTAGGCCGAGTCAATATTATCCTCTGAAGGATAAATGTTTACACTATGAGGTAACATCATTAACTCCATTTTCTTAATTTTGGGCTAATGCTGTTTTTTTTAACCCTTCAATAATTGCAAGTATCGGGGAGGATTTGTCATTACCCGCTATATTTAATGTGACGGTGATTTGATTTATTTGATTTGATTTATTTCGACAATGAACAATAATAACTCTATGTGACGGATGTATGGGAGAGAATTACAATCTGCGCAAGTTTTCTTGAGCTCTGGAATCTTTTCTCACCTTTGAACCCTAAAGAGTTGATTTTAGTGTTAGTTTTGGTTTTGTAGTTTAATTTATGCTCTCTGTAACGTTTGGACAAAGAAAATTTCTAAAAAAATTTTCTAAATATCAAATGTTAGACGTCATACATTGAGAGCAAGAGGTAGTAAGTTGTGTCACTTTAATTCTTAGGTCAAAATACGCAAAAATGATAACGGGAGCGAGGAGGAAAAGGCTGGGTAAAACACGCCTTAAGTGTCCGCCGGACTTAATACATGCAACACATGCTCCTGTGCCTGCGTATTTTCATTGTTTAATAAATGGGGTATAATTATATAGTACATGTCAAGACGGAGAATTTAATGACTTTTAGAGTCAGTTTTAAAATTATTATACTGTAAGTGGGTTATTTGATTCTCTTCATAATGAAAAGAAATTCTAGATTTAAATCACTTTTTGTGGCTAAAGAACCACGTATTGTCATATAATTTATATTGTTTCACCTTACAGCCATGCACATATAACGCACTGTTTTTGGCGTGGATTAAATAAGCAAATAAATAAAGTAAAAAATATAATTTAAATCTAAATTCTTCATGTTTCTAATCTTACATTTTCGAAATGAATAAAGCGTAGTTTGAGCTAAACCGTGTTTTTTCGCGGAATTCCAACAAACGACGCGAAAAAAACAATTCCTCTCGAAATGGAGTACGAGCCTTGAGAGGACTGGGCTGGTCGGCGGTGGAGCCGGCCGGAAGCTTGACATCTGAGACAGCGGCCCCCGCCTCCTCGCCCCTTCCGCCGTGCAGCGCCAGGAACAGCTGGTACAGGAAGTTGAGCGCCACCGTCCCCTGCGCAAACCACACGTCCGAGTGCTCAGATGAAGCGCAATTGAGTTTAAAGCGCCTTCTATCTCAAACGAACAGAATAAGTTCTAGCCTTTAATGAATCGAGTGGACGGGGGATTGGGTGGACGGGGGATTGGGTGGACGGGGTATTGGGTGGACGGGGGATTGGGTGGACGGGGGATTGGGCCCCAAGTTGTAGTGGGCTAAAAAGTGGAAGTAAAATTCATTTTAAATTCACTAACAAAAAATACGAAAAGAGAAAAACATAAGTAAAAAATGACAAAAATTCCGCAAAGGCCCTAATAATGACCTAAAATAGCAAAAAATGACAAAATTACCCAATCAACTAAACATTTCTATCACATATGTCACGATAAACATTAATTTACAAGTTACCTACGTCTAGAATGCACCAATTAAAAAATGTCATGCCATCAGAATTCGAGCCCTGGTCATTACCTACCTTAATTTGTTGCAATGTATTACGTAGTGATAAGGAAAGAAAACTTCAGAGAAACATAAACGGGACTAATAGACTCAATTTAACGCCTCCTTTAAACGAACGCTTCCGTGGATGAAACTACTTGGCTGTCCGGACGTCGCCGCGTCCTGTACAAATATGCCAACGATTTGGCCGCCTCTTTGCGATCTTCCTCTGGGCGAATCTCTGCGCCATCTCCACGCATTTCGCCCTGAGGAAGGCGGCGGAATGGCGGCCGGAGCGTAGCCACGTGTGACTGGGCCACGACGTCTTCCGGACAGCCAAGTAGTTACAGGCAGGAAAGCCTCTCTCCCAGGGCCTTTCAATTCACATATAACTTGGTGGAAACCCTTACAGTAAGAAGGCACTCTCTTGCAGCACCTTCTTACAGAAACTAAAATACGAACCGTTGCCAACGATACTTACAACGTGCGTGGATTCGCGAGACGCGTTACGTAAGATAGCGTCGATGTTCACGTATTCTTCAGAGGATTTTTTTATGTGTGTAAAATGAATAATTTAACGTTTAAAAGACACTTTTCGTATTTCTCACAAATTACTCGATTTTTATGGCCGAAAGCTGGCGAGCCTACCCTGCAGCTGCACCCGGAGACACTAGCACCCTTTAAAGTAGCATCTTCCAGCTTTATAGAAATTTATATCCCCGGTTGGCCCTGCTCTCTCCTCTGCGCCTGGCGCTGAGAGCGGGAGCGGGCAGTACCTTGCCGGCGACGATGGCGCGCGCGTGGCTGTTGGGGCAGTCGACGCCCACGCGGCGCGCCCAGTCGCGGACGGCGCGCCAGTTGGCCAGGCGGCGCACGTCGGCCTCCAGCCCCGCCTCCGCCGGCCCCACCGGCCGTGCGCCCGCGCCCTCCGCGCTGCTGATCTGCCCCCCACACACGCGCCCACATGGGGTAGTATGAGCGGTCGCGACTTCCGAGCAAAAGCTCGGTAGCGTAAGGTTCGAGAATATTCTCAAGAAAAGAAAAGAAAGGTAAACTGGTGAGAAAATACTCACTTTCCTGCAGTGCGGTTTTAAAAACGCTGCCCCTCAAGGCCCTACTTCACGGGGGCATTATGTCGCGTCTGTATTTCGCGTCTTTCTAGGCCGTGCCGCTAGTTGTCGCATGATCGCGACGTACGACGACAGCTTAATCCGCGGTGTGTGAATGCGGTGTTTGAATTGCGTATTCCATGTGTCGATGTGGAATATGGATGCGGTGTGTGGATGTGTTATGTGAGCGCGAAGTGTGGATGCGATGTGTGGATGTGCTACTTGCAATGTGGATACGATGTGTGGATGCGGTGTGTTGATGTGTTATATGGAATGTGGATGCGGTGTGTTGATGTGATACTTGCAATGTGGATACGATGTGTGGATGCGGTGTGATATGTTATATGGAATGTGGATGCGTAGTGTGGATGTGATATATGAAATATGGATGCGATGTTTGGATGTATTATGTGGGCGCGGTGTGTGGATGCGGTGTGTGGATGCGGTGTGTGGATGCGGTGTGTGGATGCGGTGTGTTGATGTGTTACATGGAATGTGCATGCGGAGTGTGGATGCGGTGTGTTGATGTGTTATATGGAATGCGGGCGAGGAGCGTGAATGTGTTATTTGGAATGTGGAATGTGGCTGCGGAGTGCGGGGCCGTCTCACCACGCCGTGCGCGAGCAGGAGGCCCGCGACAAGGGTGGCGTCGCGCAGGGAGGCCTGCAGCTGGCCCCCTAGCACCAGGCGCTCGCCCGTGCGCGCCGCCACCCACTCGCCCACCACGTCGCGTGGGCGCGGCCCCGCCCCTATTCCCGCGCCCGGCCCCAGCACTGGCCCGCGCCTCGACCCCTGCCGCGACGCGCGCGACACGCGCGACGCCGAGCTCCGCATCTGAATGAATAAATTAAACAAACATAAAAGAAGTTTAATTTAGTCACTAAATAAAAGTGAACTAATAAGTCATTAAATAAATAAAATAGAAAATAAATTTTTAAATAAATAATGACAAAATAAATAATTAAATAAACAATGATGAAAGATGAGGGAAATGTGGAAGAAAATATTTGAAATGAGGGAATGATCCCACGAATGAATAAATTAATGAATGTATGAGTATGTGAGTTCATCCACACGTTTCTTATTGCTTTTTAGACCACTGAATGCGAATCGGTTGACACCTAACTATCAATAAGAAGCTAAGGTTGGAATTAATTGTTGGTGACTCGTCAGTATTTTCATTCAGTAGTTAATTTACTTAACGATTAGAACTAATTTGGTAACTTTGGTTTGGTGACAACTTTTCTATCTCACATTCTAGTCTAAAATAAATTAAATGTTCTTCTTCATATAAATGTTTTTCTATGAATTTAAGATCATTTTATTTGCATTTACGAATTTTTATGGAGATTTTTTTTAAGGAAGAAGAGGGGAAATAAATCATAATTGCTAAGCAAAAATTTAGAAGTATGTTTCTCTTCGAAATTATTATAATTAGTTACCTTCATTCAGCAGGAATTATTTTTCCTTTTACTTGCGTCCTTTACTAAATTCCATTTACTACGATATAAAGACGATTATACTATTTTCATAATATTTTTGTAAGTAAACATACAAACAGAAGCAAGTAGAAAAACATCAATTTGTCATTCAATTGTCGTCCACACAGCCATCTCAATATGAAGTATTCAGGTTCAAAGAATTTAAAAGTTAGTAGTACATGTTCAGTCCGTGAATAATTTAAAACATTTGATTACAGTACTTGGAGAAACTCTTCTTGATTCAATTTATGCGCGCAAAGTGGTTCACTGATTGACCTGCAAGAGCCAATAAACAAGCAGACGCTCTTGCGTTGTTATGGAAACACAAGGTTCGCCAACATAAAGTAAAAAGATTTGTACAGAATAATTAAAGATATGTTTGAGTAAAATTTAATATTTGGGATGTAGCATCATTCCGATATCCGAAAATAACATTAAATATTTACACATTATCTAAAAAAATAGTTTTGGAAATGCTCGAAGAACATTTTTGTCAGGTAACAAGTCTTGTTTCAGGAAACACCTCTGTCACAAGCGGGCGTTGAGATTGCATGTGCGCAATGGGTCATGCTTTATGTGTATAGTATTAAAAAATGTATTTAAAACAATATTTAGAGAAAAAGACGTAGAAAAAAGTATGTGGTCTGAATAGCTATGAATTGTAATAATTTTATATTTGAATGTTTACTTTTTATAGTGTTCAATATCTCTTGTGAAGCCTAACCTAATATTTTGCCGTGTAATTCCTAACCTTGGTATCTTAAAGAATTTTGAATTTAATGGATAAGTCTGTATCACTCGTGGATATTGTTGGCATTGTTATCGCCAATGATATTTTTATGTTATGAATGTTTATTGTCTTGTCTTTATAGGTTAGCTGAACAAGCCCTTTTACGTTCTCTTCTTGTCACACGTTGATAAAGTAAATAAGGATGGCACGTCGTGTGTCGTCTTTGTGTAAAGCAACGCAATGGAGCTTTTTGAAGAACTTTGTTTCGGGGCCAGTGACAGTTGTATATTCTCAACAATTATACCATACCCAAAGAAAATTGTTGACTGCCTCCACATCTCGTCTACCGTTTTTCACGTGTTACCGGTAAGCAAGTTATCAAACATATTATCTAGAAATACTAGTTTCCGAAACTTATTTCAAACAAACTGAACAAGTTTCTTAACGTTTTTCCTGTTTTTGGACACTTAGACATTTTCATTTTTGTCTAATCACATATTATCAGTATGATGCAATTACCATCATTAATATTTTCATTATAAATTATATAATAATTAGAATATAAAATTTCATATTTGTATGTTGAAATGATTGAACTAATGGGGTAAAACAGAAACATCATAGCATAGAAAATAAACAAACAATACCCCCTAAATGTTTAGTATAATGGGAAATTGTTTTCCATTCTGAAGCTTTGACTCTAATTCAAAATTCTCTTCATTTGCATTCGTATGTAATACTTGGATATTGTGTCCTCATCATTAAATTACTTTTCTTGATTAAATATTACTTTGTTAGTGTTGTGAATAATATTGCTTTTTTTAAAATATATTTTGCCTGTATTGGCATTTATTATAACATTAATCCACATATATTATTCTCTTCTTTAATGATGGACACAAATTTAGATCTTTCAGTGTTGAAGGCTCTCTTATGTGTTTTATACTAAATGTACAGTATTAATATAAAAAAAATTGAAAAAATGTTTTGCTTCTAGCATGATAATGGGCCAAATTTAAACTGGAAACATTGCTTTGTTGAAACATTAATAAATGGATATTAACTTTAATAATTTATTGAAGAATCTGTACATGAATGGCCAAAACAAAAAACCTTGTTAATTGAGAACAACAGAAAAGAATTTTAATAGTGTTGTAATAGTTATGAAAATCACTTTTCAGAGTTCAATAAACCAGAAAAAATGTTTTGGTGCTTGAATCTATTCTTTTAAATCAAAGAGTCCTTAATGCTCGCAACACTGTAATTCAAAAGGTTGTCTACTTTGCAGATGAGCTTAATTGTTCTTTAATTTTACATTTTCTTCCATTATCCTAAGAACTGAGCACAGCTTAACACCATTAAGTATGGTGTGACATTTCTGCGCAGAAATGATGTACATAAATAAAGAATGAATAACAATGTTTGACAACTAACTTCCAGACCAGGGACACAAGAGTCACAATTAAAACTTTTAATATAGTTGTGGGCCATATTTTCATTACTTGGGTGATCTAAGCTTGACTTTCCCCTAATGCTGATCTAGGCAGTTTTCCTAGCTGCTCTGAAATGGGGGGGTGGGGTGGAACCATACGTGATATCAGGCAATTCCATGCATAATGCAGTGAATGAAATTGGGATGATATTTAATTTCTGAATTTACTAGAAAAAACTTCCTGAAATATAAATTGTACCAATTTTTACATTAAAGAGGGTGTTGACTACAGGACACGTACTCTAGGGGCACAATGATCTCGTTCAACTTAGTTTCATGGGACTTTCATTTTTGACTTGTAACCTTTCGCAAGCCACAATAAATGGCAGCTTGGGCCACATGCAGCCCGCGAGCTGTCAGTTGGACAATCTTCTTCTAGACAGTCTAGATTGCTCAGTCAATTCCAATGATTTTTAAGACATAGGTAGATCATGACCCTACAGAGGATCAATCATTTTGATTGGTGGCTAGTGCAGTAGCCCTCTGCTGTTGGCTAGTGCAGAAGCCTACTAAGGACTCAGGTTTTGGACAATTTCCCCAAGTACAGGCATTGTGATGTAGTTAAGACCAAAAACACAAAGTCTGTAAAATGAGGGTCACTTGAAATTGGATCTCAAGAAACACAATATTTATGCATGAACTACTCATGGTAGACATGTTCATTCATGTTTTAGGCTCTAAGGCATTCTTCTGAACAAGTTATTAATACTAATTGCTAAATTAAACTAATAATACTTCATTAACAAAAACCAAATGTTTTATTTATAGTGGCCTGAAGCAGCAAAAATGCTGCTGAACAATACCATGCAAAATGGTTTTCTGACAAGTAGTACACACTCTGCTCTAGCACAACAAATAAAATACTCTTGTATTACCCTGCAATAAATTAAATATTAGAGCAAAAACAGTCTTCACAAATACTGCAATAACATAGTACCAAGCTTATCAATAAAGTTGATGTATGTGTATTCTGTAACATAGTATAGTATATGTACAGACAAAGCCTTGATGTATGAGTATTCAGTTGGTATGCACAGTGTCAGAATATTGGAACAATACATTCAAATATTTGCATTTTTCAGTCCTCAAAACTGTTTAATTGTTTTTGAATTTTTCCTGTGTATCTAATGAAACCATAGACATCTCTCACATGGTAGAAGGCTGCATAGTTTTCTTACAATTTCTGTGCACATTGGAAATTAATAACAGAGAGACTTTTGGTTCTGTATCATTAAGGACAACCAAATCATAGCTCAAAATAATTTATTGAACCTCAGCTCTCATATATATTTCGAATCCTTCTTCAGTCTCTTTGCGTTCAATTCCCATTGTTCAATCTTAAAATAAATTAAACATTAGTGCCCCATCACTTTCAATTAACTATTGATGAGAAGCACAATGACTGCCCGTAATCCTGAAAGGAAAGAAACAAATTTCACATGTTACAATTGGGTTTGGAACTCAGTTAGCTCTAGAATATGATGCATTTAGAGATTGCATCCTCATGAATTTTGTTATTCAAACCCTTTTAAAAAAAATATTTTTGATTACCTTTTTTCAGATATCAGCATCAGCAGTCGAGGGACTCGGATGAAAGTGATGATAATGATGTTCCCAGAGTACAACGTATGAAAGAACATGAATCTATTTTGCGAGATGTTATTGCAAGAGGAGAACCATTGTCCAAAGATGAATGGAATAAAGTGAAACAAGAAGTTTTTAATTTAAATAGTTTTGTGAATGCAGAAAACATTGATGCTATCATAATGGGCTTGTGTATTGGTGAAAAACAGTTTGCTGTAGGATCATCTCTATTGGATAGTTTGAGAGAATCTGGTATTTCTCCAAACACTGCAACACTTGCAAGGTAAGTGCTAAAAATGTATCAAACGTATTGCATAATGTAGGCACCAATAAGAAAGTCTCATATCCAGTAGGTTTTGCAAGGATGCATAATTTGACAATATTCAAATGTACAAACAACAGTGATATTTGAAGAGAAATGTTGTAATCTTTTAAATTTTCTCATATAAATTGATACTCACAAGTTAATGATTTCTGGTCTTTCAAACATGTTTGAAATTTCATATTTCAGACCCTGTAAAGTCATTATACTTTATTGCTGTTCTTGATTCAAGGTAAATGTCTTAGTAGTGTGATTGAATGGGGATTAATTGTAAGACTTCTAATGGACTTTTTTTGAAAATATTGTTGTAGTAATCTTGAAGTACATTTTGTTTATCGATTTTAAGGTTAACTTTCCCATTTTTACTATTGAATGCAAGGGTAAATTTCCACCCTAGCTAAAAAAAGATTGTTTCTCCACCAACTTAAAATTTTCACTCATAAATCTGTTCCACTGATTTCTATGAATTCTAGTAGTAATAACATTAAAGTAAGAAAACAAATTAGCATATTTCATGTTTTATATCATTTATATAACAGTATATTTGTGTATATTATTTCCACAAACACATTGCTTAGTTATTCCGTTAATTAATTCTTTGTTTCCCTTGTTGTTGCAATGCCTCAGGGAATCATAGATGATAAATAAAGAAGTTTCTATGTACTTCAAGGTTCTTGAAGTTGTGTTATGACTGCAAAGCTGGTGATGAAGAATCTGTTCTTGGAATTTGTAATGAAATAAGAAACCGCTGTCCAGTCCTCGATGCTTCCACAGCTGACAATGTGATCCATGGCTTGGCGCTAACATCACGTTGGCAGGAAGGTTTAGAACTGCTGTCGGAAATTCGGTTATCTGCAGTTCCTATTTCAGCCAGTTTCAATGTCCTGGCTGAAGCTGCTTTTAAAAATGGAGAGCTGAAACTGGGCTGGGAGCTTATGGAACAGGTACCAAAATAATTACATTGGTTTTAAAAATTTAAAAATAACTTTCTTAAATGCACAACTAAAAGTTAGTTTGGCTTTATCAAATACTATTATGTAACTTCTATGCTACTATTAAAAAGCTCTTATACTATTGTATGGAAATTTTGTCAACATTGTATTTAAAAAAGTAATATGTACCCTGAAAGAAACAGAAAAGATAAAAGAACAACTTTCTTGAAATAAATATATTATTTCATTTCTGTAATATTAAGTGTAATTTATAAAATTTAAATACATTTTCTGTATACAATACAGAAACAATACATATTTTTGTAGAGAAGTATTAGTGAAGTTTTGCCGGTTTTTGTTTTTTAAACTGAAAATGAGAAATGTTCTGTTAAGAAAGCTTTAGAAAGAGAGTAATGTATAAAAACCGATTTGAATATTCTTTACATACCAAGCACCCATCTTGAATTGTTTTCAAGTTTTCAAGAGTTCTTTTCTACTGCTTCATTACTATGCACATTTTCTTGATCTATGAAATCCATACCCCCACTCCTTTTCTAATATTAGCTGAATTAGAAATTAAAGATACAACAAGCATTCTTAACAAGTTCTGATAAACATTAATGTTTGCTCGCATGTAGGGCACCCTAGAAAACATGTGCGGATAATAATTAAGCAACTTAAACTAAATTATTTAATTTCCCCAAAGCGTTTATTTGATTTGATTATAAGGTGAAATCAACAATTCTGTGAACTGTGTACCTAATGGTAATCATAAACACTGTGCCAGAAATGAGAGTATCTTTTTCTCAAGAAAAACATTCAGTGATTAGAAACAAATATAAGTTTATTTCCATCTCTTCCTATTATGCAGATTTATTTTTTCGTGTATTATCAAATCCAAATCCCTGTCCATCCCTACGACAATTGTCCCATTCTTCCAATTTTTTTAAATTTCATCCCTGTAATGTGTGATAACGAAACTTTAGAGGGAGAAAGGAATTCAAAGAAAAACAGAAAATGAGAGGTTTATTGCTGTGGAAACTGTGGAGAACAAATTAAGCAAATCAAAAACTCTTCCTTTTAGATGTTGCAATTGGAACGACGACCAACTCCTCCGGTTTACAAAGCTTGGATTGACCAGTGTATGAGGACAAAGGGAAGTGAGGCCAGTGTAATGATTGGACAGCTTCTTGACTTCTGGGCTGATCACGATCTCAGGCCATCTCTAGATGTTGCAGAGCACTTACGAAGTTGGTTTGAACATGACAAGTACTCCTGGGAAGGTTGCTTTACAACAATATCTCCTAGGTAATTCATTGTTTAATAAATATATTTTTACTACAGATCAAAGACTCAGCTTTCTTAAATAACATAATGTTTTCTTTACTTGTTATTAGCTCTGCATTTTCTGACATAAGTCTTTAATGCAAATGGACTTATTAGTTTTACCCTTACTGTTCCTTTATTGCTATTGATTATTATTGGATAATGCATCTACAGAAGGTGCGTGTGGTTTGAATATGAAGTATTAAGAGTCATTGGTCATAAATTACAATATATTAATTTCTGTAGACTTTTAACAGACATGCCATTTTAATATGAATTGTTTGTGATTTATTGGCTCTTAAGAAAATTTTGTAAAAACTCCTTGCTCTACTTTGTCACATATATTCACAACCAATTTGTACACAAACTGTACATATTAGTGAGCTACAAAATAATAAATTCATTAGATATGTGCCGTGGGAGGATCAGTTTTTATAATTTGTAAAAACTTAATAGACACACAAATTGAATATTTTGTTAACTTGAGTTGTTAGTATTGTTTTTGTTTCAATAGGAGTGTAGTATTGAATTATTATGTTGTATGAGGGTAGATAATTATGTTTCCTTTTATTTATTTTTGCCCAAAATTTCAACTTTCATTATGAAGTTCTTTTTTATTCTGCACATTTGCAGAGGTTCCTGTCAAAACTGCCGGACAGTGCTACGCAAAAGGAAGATAACAACTGCGGAATTTGAAGCAATGCGTAAGGAGTTTTTTGAGCAAGTGATTGTTGGAAGTAATGTCTTTCTCAAATCAAACCCTGAGGAGTTGGAGACATTCCAGCAGTTTCTGTCACGAACAGCACCGTATGATGTAGTCATTGATGGACTAAATATTGCTTACTCTTCAGGAAGATTACGACCCCAGCAGGCTGTAAAAGCGGTATGCGATTTGAGATGCTGCTATCCGTTATCCTTCCAAGATATTTTGGGAACATATCCACCAAAAAGTGTCCATTAGCCATTCCATTACAGTATGTCTATGTAAATGTTTTATTCTTTAACATTTTTTAGCTAATGTTCTTATAACTTGATTTTTCATTTCTAAATTCACTTGTCTAAACAAAGTGTATTTGCTCATCAGAAAAAGCGTTGTCATTTTTATTCTTGCTGGTAAAATGATGTATGAATCCATGAAACTTCTTCCACAACACCTATGTGCAATCTTTATCTCTTATAGGCATAAACAAAAATTATAACATAATTTCAATTGTTGCATGGCATTCTAGATCATCGATCATTGTTTCTTGCCAAAAGAAATTTCAGTGTACTCGGAAAACTGCTTGTCATTATCGATGCAACATCGCCAACGAAACCTTGATGTTTCTAAACATCAATGTTCATAAGTAAACCAGCAATATTAATAAAACATCGCTCCTAAAACATTTTTTTTTAAATCATTGATGTTTATAAAACTGTAAGCAGGGATGTAAATTGATGGTGGTCATGCTATTTAATTTATAATTCGGATTTAACTAAGAAAAGAGTGGAAAAGTGATTTGGACAATAAACAAAATGTTTATTATCTGCTCGGTTAATTGAAAAAATCATGTGAATTTCATTGGTCAACAAAATCTTGATTTTAATTATTTTTCCCTCTTGGTTACTTTGTTCTGAAAGATATTTAATTTAAAGATATTTGAAAATTATAACAGGTTCTTATTATGATGGTTAGTCTTTTATTAAAAAATCAGCCATGTAAAAACATCAAAAACCAAATATTAATGTTGAAAAATCTTCAGCTTCAAAAATCGATGTTAAATACATTGATGATTTTATAAAAACATAAATGTAAAAAAAGCAAAAGACCTTGGGTTTAAAAAATTGATGTTAAATCTATTTTAAACGTCAACATTGATGTCATATCCTTCCTTGTCTTCTCTGAGTTTCCATACACCACTGACATTCCATTAATCTTCTCTGCCTCTTCTCTGCATGTTCTTTCAAACTATCACCTGACATTTGAATTAATAAAGGATAACCGATGAATTATTACTGTTTTTTCAATTAACTTCGATAAGCAAGTGACAATTCATGTTGTATTTGTTCCAGTTGGAATCAGTTGTTCAACATTTTGCTACTCGAAAGAAAAGAATGTTAGTTTTGGGGAGACGACATATGCAAAATTGGCCACAGAAAGAAATGAACTATATCCATGAACATGCATTTGTTTTCCTGGCACAGAATCTGTAAGTTTTGTTTTTGTGATTTTACTTCTAAGTTTTATTTTGTCATTTTCATACCTTTCAAAAACTTCAGAGTTAATTTTGTTTTATTTTATGAATAGAAAGTATTTATTTCAGTTATTTTCATTACGGCAAAAAATTGAAATAAGTCTTCCTGATTTCTCTGATTTATTGAAATCAGTCAGTTGAATTTTTAAGATAAGCGTAGACAGCTATCAGATTAAAGATACTTACTATATTAAATGTGTTTCTTCTGGAGAATACATTTCTGTTGTGAAAATATATTTGTATAATCTTAAACACACTTTTAAAAGCACAATCACAATACATAATTCACTTAGCTGTATTCAAAAGTAAATGAAAGTAGTGGTTTCTCAATGTAGCATTATCTTTCACCTCTTTGTAACCATTAAATAATGTTATAATATTCTCATTAAAAACAATATACTATGTAGTAACACTTCAACCATTTCTTGCAGATCTCAGGATGATCCCTTCCTTCTTTATGCTGCGATGTATAGTGGCCCCTTCACACAGTTTGTGTCACGGGATCTAATGCGCAGTCATGTGTATTTACTAAAAGATACTTCTCTACGACGTATTTTTCGGCGGTGGCAACAACAGCGGCAATTGCAACTGATCCGAGCAATATCAGGACATGTCACCGTTATGGTAAGTTCCAATATGATTCGTAGAAACTATTACAGCATAGCCAACCCTTCCCATGTCAAACCTTACATCCCAATTTTTCTACATCCACTCTGATGTCAGAGCACATGCAATATTTACTTTTTTTTTTATAACCTGAATTTCATACATAGACAAAGCCTTCTTATTATTTTTTATTTTTTTGGATGACATCAATTAAGAGAGAACACTTTTTGTTTTGTTCACAATGTCTCTTGTGTGTTACAAGTATTACCTTGAGATGATAACGAGATGAATGAAAAGCTAAAGAAAATACTGTATTTAGAGGTAGCATAAAAAGTTCAATTAGTCCTCTTTTTTTTTAAATGTTAAAAATGCTGTCTGGAAGAGAATTTATGGCAATATGAAAAGGAAGGGAAGGAAAATGAATTAAGTGTGAAACATACTCACAAAGAAGTGTTTTAGGAATAGTGTACAATTTTGCTGATTCCCTAAAATTTACAGCAAAATATATCCACATTAAGAAACTATTGTTGCTAAATTTTGTTTAGAGCACAGTTTTTCTCGTGTTTAATTTTTT